TCCCTGATTTATTCTTTATTCAGGCTCTTGTAAAATAAGAATTCACTTTTGAGATTTAATTAAGATAATCTTTGTTTAGTCTGTTCATTTTTTTAATTAGTTATTTTAAAATGTTAATAGGAAAATTATTTATGGTCAATTATCTTCATCTTTAAAACTCAGTGAAGAATGAAGTACAGACAGATTTTTATTTCAGTGATATATGTGTCCTTTAAGCTGCTTTATTAATTATGCATAACTTTATTAATTAAGTTAGATTTGGTCAAATATAATGAAACGGAGATAATTTTGGATGAAATGAAAGCTTCCCAAACGAACGCTTAAGTCCATCTTTGTGCGCAGATAATGCAGCCGGTGTGGCGGAGCAGCTGGCCGACCTCACCAAGAACAACCTGACCAGCGAGGAGGTGGGACCCAACAACCTTCAGGCTTGAACTCCTCCCAGTAAACAAAAACATCAACCAGCTGTCGTCGTTTATGTTCTGCACTTGCAGGTTTCCCAGGTTGTGACGAAGGTGCATGAGCTGGTGAGTGTGGCCAAGATTAACACCACGGTGGCCGAGTCAGTCGTCAATATCATCTCTAACGTCATGGTCAGTTCAAAGGAGACACCGGGGAACACTTCTAACATGTAAGTTCGATTGTTCAGCCCTACTCTGGTCTTCCTCTGCAGACCAGAGTGGAAAAAACAGACGGCTTCCATCAAAAGGGCTTCATTAGTATTCACAACCTATGTCATCTCAAGGCACTTTCCAGTTCACCAGATCATCCGGTCAAATTGATTTAAAGTTTTCTATCTAAGGAAAACCAGCTGATTGCATCAACTCATTGACTCTTCAGCAATCCCTCACTCTAAGCATGCTTGTAGCGACAGTGGAGAGGAAAAACTCCCTTTGAACAGGAAGAAACCTCCAGCAGAACCAGGCTCAGTGTGGGCGGCCATCTGCTGAGGCCACTCAGTTTTGAGTTGCTTTTTTTTTTCATCAATATAATATGCAATATATTTCAGCACATGGCTGTTTCAAATGAGAAATACAACAAACACTACAAAAAATGACAGCATCATCCGCTTAATAAAGAATTACTACATTGATTCAGTTAATTACTTTCTATTTACTCTACTTTCTATTTTCTAACATTAGACACTGTGTCATTGGCTAACTCGGTCAATGTCGTATTTATTTATTTCATTGGCGTATTTATATGAATTTTCTTGGTTAGTACATCCACTAACTGTGAAATTAGCTGTCTTCCCACAGCCGGAATTCTGCTTGTTTTTACAGCCAAATGCTACACACGTACCGTAATTTTCGGACTATTAGCCGCACCTGAGTATAAGCCGCAGAAGCTAAATTGCATGATTTGTACATATAC